TTCTTCAACCTGATAAAGGGCATCTACAAAAAAATCTACCACTAACATCATATTTGATAGTAAAAGGCTAAATGTTCTCACCCTAATATCAGGAACAAGGCAAGGATATTTGCCCTTGCCACTTTCATTCAACACTGTACTGGAGGTTTTAGTCAGTGTAATCAGGTAAGAAAAATAAATCCAAATTGGAAAGGAAAAAGTTAGTCTGTCTTTACATAGACACAACCTGATCCTGTATGTAGAAATCCCACAAGAAGCCATACACACACACACACACACACACACACACGCACACAACTACGAGAACTAATTGATGAGCTCAGCAGGGTTGCAGAATACAAGATCAATATGCAAAAATCAACCGCATTTTTATATACTAGTAATAAGTAATCAGAAAATGAAATTAAAAAATCCATAACAGCATCAAAAGAATTAAAATAGTAATAAATTTGTCAAAAGAAGTGGAGGACATACCACTGAAAACTACACAACATTGCTGACAGAAATGAAAGAAAAATAAATGGACAGACATTCCACGTTCATGGACTCGAAAACGCAATACTGTTAAGACTGCAATTCTTCTCAAATTAATCTATACATCCAATGCAATCTCTATCAAAATCCCAACAGTCATCTTACAGAAATTGACAAACTGGTCCTAAAATTTTATGGAAATGAAACGAACCCAGAATACCAAAAAAAATTTTGAAAAATAAGAAAAAAGTGGGTGAGCTTATACTTTGCAATTTCAAAAATTACTATAAAGCTAAAATAATCAAGACAATGTGGTACTGACATAAGAATAGACATATAAATCAATGGAACAGAACTGCAAGTCCAGAAATTAACCCTTACATTTATGGTCAACTGAGTTTTGACAAAGGTACCAAGGCAATTTAATGGGAAAAGCATATCCTTTTCAACAAATGGTGTTCAGACAATTGGATATCCCCATGCGAAGAGATTAAGTTAGACCATTACCTAACACCATATGCACAAATTAATGAAAAATGGGGTATACCTAAGGGTAAAAACTAAAATATGAAACTTCTAGAGGAAAACATAGGAGAAAATCTTCATGACCCTGGGTTAGCCCAAGCTTTCTTAGGTGCAAGCGAAAAGCACAAATCATAAAAGAAAAAATTAATAAATGGACTTCATCAAAATTTAAAACTTTTGTGCTTTAAAAGACACCATTGAGAAAATGAAAGACATTCCACAGACTGGGAGAAAATATATGTAAATTATATTTCTGAGGACTTTTACCCACAATAAGAACTCCTATACTTAATAACAAAAAAGAAAACGCATCAGTTTAAAAATGCACAAAAGATTTAAATAGACATTTCACCAAAGAAGAAATAGGAATGGCTAATTAACTACATGAAAAGATGCTCAACCTTATTAGTCATTAGAGAAATACAAATCAAAAGCACAATGAGATACCACTTTACATCCACTAGAATGAGCATGATCAAAAAGACAACCAATAAGAAGTGTTGGGAAGATGTTGAAAAACTGAAACCCTCATACATTGTTTGTGGGGATGTAAAATGATACATCTACTTTATAAAACAGTTTAGCAGTTTCTTAAAATGTTAAACATAAACTTACCATAAGGCTCAGCAATTCCATTCCTAAGTATCTACCCAAGAGACTAGGAAGATGTACTGACGATGTACTTCCAAAAATCAGCTGTCATGGATTGAATTATGTCCCCAAAAAAATGTGTGTATAAATTTGGCTAGGCCATGATTCCCAGTACTGTGTGGTTGTCCTCCATTGTGTGACTGTAATTTTACGTTAAAGAGGATTAGGGTGGGATTGTAACACCACCCTTACCCAGGTCACATCCCTGATCCAATGTAAAGGGAGCTTCCCTGGGGTGTGGCCTGCACCACCTTTTATCTCTCAAGAGATAAAAGGGAAGAAAGCAGAGATGGGGGGACCTCATACCACCAAGAAAGAAGCAGCGGGAGCAGAGGCGCGTCCTTTGGACCCAGGGTTCCTGTGCGGAGAAGCTCCTAGTGCAGGGAAAGATTGACAAGAAGGCAAACAGAGACAGAAAGCCTTCCCCTGGAGCTGACACTCTGAATTTGGACTTTTAGCCTATTTTACTGTGAAGAAATAAGCTTCTCTTTGTTAAAGCCATCCACTTGTGGTTATTTCTGTTAGAGCAGTACTAGATGACTAAAACATCAGCTAATAAAAACCCTAAGGATCACAACGGTCTGATCTGCAACCAATCATGGGGATGGCACAGGACTAGACAGTATTTCGATCTGTTGTGTACAGGGTCACCACAAGATGAGGGCCAACACTTTGGCACCTAACAACAATGATCCAATAGAAATGAAAACACGTGTCCACACAAAATGTTATATGCAAACATTCATAGCATTATTCATAGTAGTCCCAAACTGAAAATAATCTAAATGGCTGTCTTAGTTATCTAGTGCTGCTATAACTGAAATACCACAAGTAGATGGCTTTAACAAACAGAAATTTTTTCTCTCACAGTTTAGGAGGCTAGAAGTCTGAATTCAGGGTGCCAGCTCCAGGGGAAGGCTTTGTCTCTCTGTTGGCTTTGGAAGACGGTCCTTGTCTCCTTTCAACAATGGTAGGCCCGGCATCCCTTGGAGAATCCATGTGTCTTGGCATCAATCTTGCCCTGGGTCTAGGAGGATCTCAGCACAGGGAACCTGGTTGCAAAGGATGCGCTCTGCTCCTGGCTCTTCTTTCTTGGTCGTAGTGAGGTCCTTCTCTATCTGCTTGCTTCTCTCTGCTTTTATCTCTTAAAGGACAGTGACTCAAGATACATCCCATCCTAACCCTGCCTCATTAACATAACAAACATAACCCAATCCTCATTAACATGACCTAATCCTGCCTCATTAACATAATGACAGCTTACTCCCAAGAGGAACCATAACCACGGGCATAGAGGCTAGGATTTACGACTCATCACAAAATGGAGGATAATCAGATCACAAAATGGGGAACAACCACACAATACTGGGAATCACGGCCTAGCCAAGTTGACACATATTTTGGGGGGACACAATTCAAACCATGCCAGCTGTCAACTGGTGAATGGATAAACAAAATGTGGTACATCCATACAATGGAATATTATTCCACATCAAAAAAGGAATGAAGAACCGCTACATGTTACACTGTGGATAAACTTCAAAAACATCATGCTAAATGAAAGAGGAGCCCTGGTGGTGCAGTGGTTGAGAACTTGGCTGCCAACCAAAACATCAGTAGTTTGAATCCACCAGCTGCTCCTTAGAAACCCTATGGGGCAGTTCTACTCTGTCCTATGGGGTTGCTATGAGTCAGCATCAACTTGATGGCAAAGTGTCATTTTTTTTTTTAAGTGAAAGAAGCTAGAATACAAAGATAACATACAGTATGATCCTACTTATATAAATTGCTCAGAAAAGTCAAGTTTACAGAGACAGAAAGCAAAATTGTGATTGCTTGGGTCTAGGGGTGGGAGCCAAGACTGACTGCAAATGGTAGGCACTAGGGATCTTTTTTTCACTACCTGTCAGTTTGTCATACTGTGGTGGTTTGCACATTGCTATGATGCTGGAGCTATGCCACCAGTATTTCAAATACCAGCAGGATCACCCATGGTCAACAGGTTTCAGCAGAGCTTCCAGACTTAGACAGACTAGAAACAGGCAGATTATCCAATAGGCAAAGAAGCACGGTGCTTACCTTGCTTACCAGATTATCTGTAGTGAACAATTTCATATTTTTTCACCATATCAAAGATTTTGCTTCTGGGTATGGCTAGAATCTGTATCTCTCCAATCCACAGCACCTTCCTACAGAATTGAAGCCTCTTTTCAAATTTACAATCCCTGACCAGAAAGAAAGGTCTGGCAATCTACTTCTGAAAATTAGCCAATGAAAATCTTGTGAACCACAACAGAACACTCTCCTACTCACTTGCTTTGTACATGTCATCAAGAGAGATCAATCATTAGAGGAAGACACCATGTTAGGTGAAGCAGAAGGCCAACGAGGGTGTGCGAGACCCTCGCTGAGATGGATTCGCACAGCAGCTACAACGATGGACTCAAACATGCTGGTGACTGTGAGGATGATGCAGAATTGGGCAAAGTTTCATTCTGTTGTATATAAGGTCGTCATGAATCAGAGTCAACATAGCAGTAGCTAACAACAACAAGGAATCTTTCTGAGGTGATAAAATGTTCTAAAACTAGACTTTGGTGATGTTTGCACAACTCTCTAAGTTTGCCAAAAATTACTGAATTTTATGATATTTAAGTTATATCTCAATAAAGCAGTAACATTACATGAATTTTACAGTTTATACTTTCCAAAATTACTATTCCTTTAATTTCTGATGGTTTTATTAGAGATATTTCAAAACTTTTCTCTAGTTATTTCTACTCTGAAGCCAAGTTTTAATTTTCAGTCAATTTCTAACAGGTTGTGAAAGCTAATTCTCAGAAGTTTGATTCATTTTCTTTAATCCTGTGTAATCAAGATGACAATTTTGATGATGAGTTTCTTTCATTCCCTAATAACCCAATGAGTTGATGTAATCAGACAAAATGAATGATCTCATAACTCAGACTGTAATACTACTTTACAAAGCTGTAATGATTCTAAAGCCCCTAAGTCTAATGAAGTAATAAAAAATACCACCTGTCAAATAAAACGATTTCTACTTTCTCTGGTATGTACAGTATAAATCATTGTTTAACTCTGGCATGATACCCACTTTTGCATCCTAAGTTTTTAACTCTATTTTGCCTTTTTCACATAGAGAAAAAGACTTTTTTTTTTTTCTCCTCAAATAGTCCCCAAGAAATATAGCACCAATCTCTCCTCAGAGCTCAGGAATAAAGACTTCTCCAACTCACTGATTCCAACAAAACATATAACCTAGACAATTAAGTTTGTTCTGTTCTCGGTAATTTACCCTTGTGAAGAGACAGATCATGACAGACACATACCGACAAGTTTATTTCTCCGCAGGTGTCCAGGCACATTCCTGATTAGTTGCCCTTCCTCCATTTGCTGTTCCATTTCCAAGTCTCATTAGTGGTTTTCAGAAGTAACTGGCTTGGGCTGTGTTTGATCCACAAGAACCCTGATGGTAGGTTGTGCTCCATCATTATTCCTATTCAGTCTTAAAAAAGAAAAAAAAAAGGATTCTTTCAATCTGTGGTTTACAGGACAAACCTTTAAATTATAAAACCAACCACCAAATCTGTTGCTGTCGAGTAGATTCTGACTCATAGTGACCCTACAGGACAGAGAAGAATTGCCACATAGGGGATGCGGTAAAATTTAATTTAGTGTCAGTCTTCAGCTTTTGTTTTCATTCCAAGCCATCTTTTTTCCCATATACTTCTAACTGTTACATTCTGGGGAAATGCAGTCACAACTGAATATTCATTACATTCATTAAAGTGCATGTAGGCAGACTTTAAAAAGCTAACTCTTAATTATCTGGCCTAGCAGGTATCTACTTATATTGAAAAAATTAAATCAGAGTCAATTCAACAAATGTCTACTGAACACCCACTACTTAACAAGCCCTGTATATACAGGATCAAACAAGGAACAGTTTCTGCCTTCAAGGAGTTCAGGAGCTGTTGGGAGACAATGAACCATAACTAAATATGTCAGACTTATAAATTAAGTCAATACTTTTTTAAAATGCTATAGAAAGAGAAGTGGTCACTGAGAATAGCTGGAGAAAGTCTCAAAGGGCTGACAAGCAAAAATGAAAGTAATACTTCAACTGGAATAGATGGGGGGGAGGGGGACAGTAGAACTCTGGGGAAGAAAATAGAGATATGCCTGAAGCATGAGGTACATGAAGACATATTGGGAAACCAAGCTACAGTATGATTATGATAATAATACCAGCTAACATTTATTAAGCACTTACTGTGTGCCAAGAACTATTCAAAGCACTTATATGTACTTATTTAATCCTCACAACTCTGAGGAATGTACTATGATATTCCCATTTGACAGATGACAAAACTAAGGTACAGTATAGAAAAGTTAAGTAGCCAGCTCATGGTTCCACAGACACAACGAAAAGTTATGGCACCAGAATCTTGAAATCTATAATAAGACTAAATTGTGTCTCACCCCCAACCACACTCATTATAAGAGCTGTTAACAGGTATTTTAACCACCCCTTCTCTCATAGGGGAGCCCTGGTGGCACAGTATTTAAGAGATCAGCTGCTAACCAAAAGGCTGGCAGTTCAAATCCACCAGCTGCTCCTTGGAAACCCTATAGGGCAGTTCTACTCTGTCCTATAGGTTCTCTGTGAGTCGGAATCAACTCAACAGCAATGGGTTTGATTTTTGGTTTTCTCTCATAGGGTCACTATAGGTCAGAATGGACTTGACAGCAGTAGGTTTGGTTGTCTTTTTTTTTTTTTCTCTCTCATAAATTCCTAGGCCATCCTTCAACGCCTAGCTCAAATGCTACCTTCTCTGTCTGCAAAGCCTTTCTTGATCCTCACAGCTGAAAATAATCTCTTTCTCCTCTGAACTTCATAGTATTTTATCTGTATCAATCTTACGGCCTGTCATAATATTTTTTTTCCTGGCATTGTATATTTTATGTGTCATCTCTTCTTTTTTAGTCTTCTTTAGTCTGATCCACTTTCTATTCTCCACAACTCCTAGGACAGTGACTGGCATATAATAATGCTAACTAAATCGACAGAACACTTACTCTTTGCAAGGCACTCTGCTAATAAGCATTTTATAGGAATTTTCTCACAAAATCCTAACAGCAACCCAATTCACTCCCTCAATAGCTGTTTTTAGCTCCTACCGTGACAGATAAAATGCTGGATGCATCTTAAACTCATAAGCAAGACTAATACAGTCCCTGCCTTCAAGGAGCTCACAGCGTAGGAAGGTTGGTACTGTTGGTATCTCCGGGTTATAGAAATGAGAATAAACGAGGCTCAAAGAAATTAAGTAATCTGTTTGCCCAGAATCCCACAGCAAAAAAAGTGGCAGAGTCAGAATTCAAACCCAGGTCTCCAGATGTGAAATTCCAGACACTGTGCACTTAACCACTATGTTCTAAAGGAAAACCCGTTGCCGTCGAGTCGATTCTAACTCAAAGCGACCCTACAGGACAGAGTAGAACTGCCCCATAGGGTTTCCAAGGAGCACATGGTGGATTCCAACTGCCAGCTTTCTGGTTAGCAGTGCTTGATAAAATTATTGAAGGAAACAAGGTTTAGAACACTCATAAAATGAAAAAATATTCCAATCATAATGAAAGGTTTCACTTGACTGTTACTTTTTTATGAGAGGAAATGAGCAAAACTACAAGTACAGGTGGAGGTTGTAGTAGTATCCCAATACTCACCTGGTAGTTCAGAACTGCTAATCCAGTGATCTGTTGAGGAGACTAGCTGAGGGTTGAGAATTTCCTTGAGCCTGTTCTGTGTCCCTTAAAGTGGCTCCCACTGAGCAGTGTCCCCTAACCTGGTCCCTCCTGAGCACCAATGTCTTGATACGCGCAGGATGGTGTAGGTGAGTCACTAATTAACAGTGAGTCCTTGGGCTATATCTATTACATAACCCAGTGGAGATGAGTGAAAGGTAACTATGCACACAGTTCCTTCTTGAAAGGTGGATTCAAACCCCCAGATAAGAGGCCTCCAAAAATGTGTGAATCCGTACTTCTCATTGAAGTGGTGAAGAAACCGCCAGGAGGGGATTATGTGATATCTCCTACCACTCCTCAGGTGCTCCTCAGTCCCTGAGGGCCAGAAACACCCCTTCCAGCCGAGGACCGAGCGTCCCACCGCCGACAGCCGCCTGTCACACTGCTGGCCAGAGTTCCCCTCTCCAAACGTCACTTTGCCGGCCGCATTGTTTGGCCCATCCTAACAGTATCCTCAAACAAAGTGGCTTTAGAGTGGCGATACCCAACAATATAGACGAGGCAGAAAGAGTCGCCTGGAGTCACTTGTCCTATTTCCCCCAATTTTTTGGCCCAACAGCAGACCACTTGATTTTACACCAGGTTCAGCAAGTAAAACAGCGCAGAAGAACCCTAAGATTAGGTTCCCGGCCGAGGGGCTCCTATAGCGTGCACACCAAGTAGGCCTTGGCAGCCAGCTCGACTCGGACGCGCGCCGCGCAGTCCCTGCACACCGCAGACCCCGCCCCGCCCCCTGCGCTGGACAGTTAGCCCGACAACCGGCGCACAGCGCCCGAAGCCAGGGCGCAGGAGGCGTGGCGGGCGCAAGCCACCCCGCCCCGCCTTCCGTCAATCGCCTGCTGCGCCGGCGCCAAAAGCTCCCGGCTCAGACCTCCGGTCTCCGTGAGCGCATGCGCCTGGTTAGGAAGGCTGGGTGAGGGGTTCCCGCCAGCGAGAAAGGGGAGACGGAAATGGATGGGGTGGGCGCGCACAGCCTCGCCTCAGGCCTAGCGCTGACTGGAGTGCGGGTTAGGGGTGGAGCGGGGAGCGGTGGTCTCCGGGGGGCCTGGACCCCGAGCCGGAGCAGGGCCCGGCAGCCCCGCTGACCACCCGTGTGTGTGTATGTGCCTGCCCAGGGAGACATGGACAACTGTCTGGCGGCCGCGGCGTTGAACGGTGTGGACCGACGTAGTCTGCAGCGTTCGGCTAGGCTGGGTCAAGAGGTGCTGGAGAGGGCCAGGAGGAGAGCTGTGAACTGGCATTCACTGGAGCTCCCCAAAGGCAGCATGGGGGTTCTTGCCCTGGAGGGGCCCGACCAAGAAAGACGGCCGGCAGCCAACACCCAGCGCCTTCTCCCAGGAGAGGTGAGGGTCCCAGTGCTGGGGACCAGCCCATTCATTCGCTTAGCAGAGGCCTGCTGGGGGCCAGGGACGTGGTGTACAGAAGCAACAGAGGAATCCTGTCCTTGGCCAAGGCTGGAAAGCATCAGGCCTTGGATGCCCAGACACAGTGAATGGAAACACCCTTGAAAACTCTTTACATTTCACAGATTCTTATTGGGTACCTGTAGGATACCAGTCGTGCTTAGCTCTGGTTGGTTACTCTTTTTTTTTTTTTTTAATTTTTACATAGTACCATTTGATATTAGAGGAAAGTTAGCAAACACACCTTTTAGGTCCTGGATACATTGCATATCTATGTATTCCTTTTTTAGTTGGAATTCTTTCTCCGTAATATACAAGCTACTTCAACCTGTAGACCAAAACCACACCCATTGCCATCGAGTTGATTCTGACTCATAGTGACCCTATAGGACAGAGCAGAATTGCCCCATAGAATTTCCAGGGAGCAGCTGGTGGATTTGAACTGCCGACCTTTTTGGTTAGCAGCTGAGCGCTTAACTACTGTGAGGGCTCCTCAACTTGTAGAGGCCTTTCCAAAGTAAAAAGGAGGCTATTCCCAAAGTGGCTTCATTCTGCAATAGGAAATCCCTGACCTCACTTGAGACTTGCTATTCATTCAAACAGAAAGAAGAAAGATACCCAACCCTCAGTGCTTCCTTCAGAACAATGGCTGAATTCATGGACTATGCTTCAAGTCAGTGTGGGGTAAGTTGGTATAAGCCTGCTGATGCTGCAGCTGAAGGATCACGACGTGGATCTTTCTGGAATTTAGAGACAACCTGAAACTCTTTCTCCTGCCCTGAGCAACAATTGTAATCAGATAAGTACCTAAACCAGATGATAAATCCAAGTTAGAATTCATTCAACAAGTATTTATTTAATGCCTAACTATAGGTGGTGTTGAGGATACAGCAGTGAACAAGCCATAAAAGGTCTCTGCCCTCACTGATGCTTATTTGCTGAATTCCAAAAGAATCAAGATGAAATATATATTAGTAGTGTGTATGTGTTTAATTTTGACCTGAAAGTGTTAAAAACCTTGAGGATCACTCTAAAGTGGAACTGAGTCTCCCTTTTCAGAATGTGTTGAAACAAACAAAAGCTGAAACAAAATCCCCACATTAGATATCAACCTCTAATGTCTAATGTTCCTGGTAAAGTAATTTTTAAGTATGTCCCTATGAGCCCATATCCGTTGTTGGTGACAGAGGTAGTCATTATATGAAGCAGGTGCAGCATCCTTGTGGGGGGAGGGAGGGGTCATGTGGCTTAATGGAAGGACCAGCTTCCCAGGAATCAGACCCATGTTCTATCATTTTACTATCTGGAATGCCTTAGACCTCTTAGTCTCACTCGGCCATACCTTCCCCATCTATAAAATGAAGATTTCTAAAGTCCTTTTCAGCTTTAACAGTCTGTTTCTTTGGTTTCTACTGAGAGAGAAACACCAGAAAATTGTCTTAAACTGAGCATAAGGGATATAGATGAGATCTATGGTACCATTCACTGAAATGGGTGAACAAAGGCTTTAGAGTCCAAAGGCTTTAGAGTCTGTCTTCCTCTCAAAGTTTTTGAAGACCATACACTTAGGTCATCTTTAAGTACTTTGGAGTAATGTTGAAGGCAGGCCAGCCAACATACAAGGAAATCACCTGCATCAAAGTTACTCCCTATCTTCTAGGAATTACAGCTGACTCTGGTTTCTTCTAGCCTTAACATTTTCTGAGTCTTAGGTGGTTGTAAGGATGCTGGTGGTTAGGGGAGAAAGAGAATACTTTGTTTCTGTCCTGCTTTTTGGTTTCATATGTTAAGATCTCAAAAAATCTCTAATCTTTTCTACGTCTTTTATAAAATCCCTGTGACTCCAAGAACAGGATGCCAGTCAATGAGATACGGTTCAGAGAATATTTTTATGTTCTTATTTGTTCTGTTAAGTGGTTTTTAGAAAAACCTATACCTCCAGATCTACTGTAAAGTGATTAACTTAAAAAAAAAAAAACTTTGGTTCATGGCTCAGTATAAGAAATAATATTTGTCTTTGGTTTGAGGTTTAGCAAATTAGTGTTCTTCACTTTGGTTTTCAGTTCATGTCTCCACTATGGAATGGAGCCTCAGAATCCCTTGGCTGTCTAGAGATAGAGTTAGGAACAGTCTTCTGAGTTTGCCTTCACAAGTTTGAAGCAGCCTCTGAAATACATAATTAGATCCGTGTCCTGAAGTGCTTCCCCTAGCTTCTCATTCTTCTGGTCACGTGCCTTAGACACTGTCCCTACACTATGTTCAAAACAAGTAGGCTTGTGATGTCCTCATCATTAGTCATAATCAAGGGCAAGTCCAAGGTTAACTTCGAGGGGGAGAAAGGAAGTAGACAAGAAAAATGTAACTATTTTCTGACCCTTTGATTTATTTCCCTTAAACTGGAGACCTCCCTCTCCACTCCCTGCACAAGGAGCATGAGAAAGGCTGCACAGCTATTGGGTTTATGTTACATTTACTGCTGTATTTCTAAATTTCAACAAGTCTTTCTTCCCTTGTCCTTGTCTGAGATTTAGACAATAAACATGGAACTGTTCAGAATTTGTCATGACAGGAGATACAAGGTCATGTGCATTTGACTTGGGGGCAAAGATGTGAAAATCATTTAACCTGGCAGAGAGCATAGTCCTGCCCAGCTTTAGTGGGCCAGAGTTCTTGCCCTACAGAGGCAGCAGATGGCAGCACAGTAATGCGAAATTCAGTTTCCTTCTTTACAGCCACTTTACAAGGGGTAGGGTTTGTTACATGACTTCAGATGCCTGTCAGGAGCATAGGTAACTTACCTATCCTGTCTTGCCTCCTTCCTTAACCACACTTTGCCCAAGTATCAGAGGGTTTTTTTGAAAATTTGACTAGAGTGCTTGGTTATCCAACATCTTTCACATTACTTCTCTAGAAATATTACTCATCTGTGCCAGAGGAAGGAGGGGCAACCCATGTTTATCGTTACCACAGAAGGAAGTTGGAGGTGTCCTGGTGCTCAGACACAGGGAATGGTCCGGTATGTATTCTCAGCTGTCCTCGGCTGTGCCCTCAGCGTCCTAAGATGTGAGACCCTGAAACTGTTGTCCTGAGATAATCTTTAAACTTAAACCAAAAATATCCTCTGGAGTCTTCTTTAAACCAAACGATAAGTTAGCTTATTTAGTAAAGAATGTTTGCCTTGAACATTGTGCTCTTTTGAAGAACTATCTATATGTGATCAAATTGACAACAGCAACTCAAAAGGTCAGATAGGAAGTTTAGGGGGTGGTGAGTTCATGTTAATGGGAAGAACAATTCAGAAAAGGAGGGCGAGAATGGTTGCAAAACTTGAAGAATGTAATCAATGTCAGTCAATGAATTGAACATGTAGAAATGTTGACTTGGTGTGTGTTTTGCTATGTATACTTTCAACAACAATTTAAAAAAAAAGCTGTGAGACCCTGTGTTAGGTAGCTCCTACTGGACTTTGTGTTTATTGGATATCTGTATGACCCAGCATCACAGCGCTCAACAGAAATGTAGCGTTAGAGAACTTACAGCAATGAACATGAAATAGGAATTTGTCCAAAACTGTAAGGTTGATGCCACTGTAGGATCTTCAGTTGAACCTGTCATTCTGGGTCATGGGATTTGGGGCAGGCTTAAAGAGCTTTAATCATTCTTCTATAACTAAATATGGAGCCCTGGTGGTGCAGTAGTTAAGAGCTTGGCCGCTAACCAAAAAGTTAGCAGTTCAAATCCAGCCACTCCTTGGAAACCCTATGGGGCAGTTCTACTCTGTCCTGTAGGGTCACTATGAGTTGGAATCGACTCAATGGCAATGGGTTTGGTATTTTTATATAGCTAAAGATAGGAAAGAGATTTTTAATAATCTCACTTACTATAAGATAGGTGATAATTATCATGTCTTTTGTTATTGTGTTGTTGTGTGCCAAGTCAACTCTGACTCACAGTGACCCTATAGGACAGAGTAGAACTACCCCATAGGGTTTCCAAGGCTGTAATCTTTATGGAAGCAAATCGCCACATCTTTCTCCCCCAGGGTAGCTGGTGGGTTCAAATCGCTGACCTTTTGGTTTGCAGATGAGCATTTAACCACTGCACCACAGGGCTCCTATTATATCTTTGAAAACTTATATAAAGGAAGTGCAGGGAGGAGGTCTTGGCTTTAACAAAATACTTTCCCTAAAGATAATAAAAATGACAGGCCTTTCACTACAAATTTACCTTTCTTTTACCACATGTCATTTAGGGAAAGCCAGAGTCTACTTGTTGAGCTGATTCAACAGGAATGGTTTTTTTGTTTTTGAGGAGAGATTTTTTGTTTTAGTTTTAAATTCCCTCAATTGTACACAAAAATTGCAAACTTAAGTCCAGAATCTAATCCACAAGTTGGATTCTTGACTTCTCTGGCCATTGGGCATATTGACGCGTTAGAACTGAGGGATTTTTTAACTGAGGGATTTAGGAAAAGGATGGAAGAGTGGGTACAGGCATATAACTGAGGACTGAATTCATGCTGGAAGTACCAGGGCTCAGAAAAGTTAAACTGTCCTTCTCAGTAAACAGCAGAGAGAGGATTCAAACTCAGATATGTCTAACTCCAAAGCCTGAAAGTAATCATGGCAAACATTACTAAAATACTTAACAGAATTCACTAAAAAGAGCCTTGATAACTTAGAAAAAGCTGACCAAACAATTGTTAGTTCCTAATAATGGAGGAGGAGCCCTGGCGGTGCACTGATTAAGCGCTTGGCTGCTAACCAAAAGTTCAGCAGTCTGAATCCACCAGCTACTCCATGGGAGAAAGATGTGGCAGTCTGCTTCCATAAAGATTACAGCCTTGGAAACCCTGTGGGACAGTTCTACTCTGTTCTATAATGGTCGCTATGAGTCAGAATCAACTCAAGGGCATAAAATCATAATGCAGGAGAAAATTTGTCTTTACAATCCAGGAGTCAAAGCTTGGATACTAGTCAGTGTTTCTGCTTGTCTTCTCAGGGACAAGACACATCCCTTGGTCTTAAAGGCATCTATCAAGCATCACAGTGTGACCTAGAGGCATCCCAACCTGTGAGTATAGAATTTCTCATATACTGGGTTTCACCACCATTGCAATTCCATTAGCCAGTAGGGCCCTCTGTACTGAGTCTGTAGTATTTTTAAGTTGGGATGTTGTTACACTCGGGAAAGGGTACACAGCATTTTGCGTCGGTATAAAATTATGTTTTCTTGGTAACCTTCCTTCACTTGAAGCTTCCGAGATACTGTTTGTACCTGAACTCCGTTGTGGTTGGAAAGAATGTGAAGTATTCATATCTCAGTTCCTACAGCTCAGCTGGGCGAGTGCTCTGTCCTGCTGGAATTCCACCATCTGTTCACACAGCAGGAGGGGCCTGACCCTCCTGCTTGCAAAGTGAAAATCATTGCTGAAATTCTGAAACATACACATTTGGTTAGATCGGGTTCCAAAACATTTGAAGGGATTTGCTCCCATTTTCCACAGATGTTTCTCTGTGAAAACATATATTGATGAGGAGGTGTTGCTTAAGGCGTATTGAATTTCAGTTAAAGGTGATGAAAAAATTTGGAAACGGGTAGTGGTGATGGTTACACAATATGGTGAATGTAATGTCACTGAATTGTACACATAAAAATGGTTGAAATGGCAGATTTTTTTGTGTATGTATATATATATATCACTTCAATAAAAATGTTTAAAAAAGAATAGGGGGAGAAAACATGCTGATGAGTTTTTTATGTTTAAGATAGAGTACTCAGTAGTTCATGAATCAACAGAATGTTTTGAAACTTTGAAAGGCTGGAATTCTCAGGAAAGGAACTTCAGCATGTTGCTGCAATAATTTGCTTTATTTTTGTTTGTATATGAAAGTACAGTTTGCTACTAGCCAGGATTCAGAATATACTAGAATAGTAGCAAGAATATTCTGCCTTTAGAACAAGTTGTTCAGCTTAGATGCCTCCAACACTTGCTGATCTTTGGTAGTGCTGATCTTCTGATGTTCCACAATGTTGGAGTCACAGATGCCAACCTACCCCAGTGTTTCCTTTCATGAAAACATATGAAGCATCCTTGGCTTTCTGCAATTCCGATACAGCCATATTTTCTGAAACCTACCTTTGTTTATTTACATAATTGACGGCCAGCAACGAATTGTGGCATTGTCATATACATACCCACAAGTTAAATGAGAATAGACCTGCAGTTTTGTAGTAACTAGGCAGGAAAGGATACAACGTAAAGCAAATTTGGAGAAAATTGTCTTTAAATCTATCTTCAAGGCAGGGGTTGTAGAGAGTTTCATAAAAGTATAAATATTATCCTTTGTTTCTCCTAGTGGAATTTGCTAGTTAGTAATGCACTTTTATTCCCTTGGGTCTGGTGGTAGAAATGGCAACTTCTGCCTGTGGATCCTTCCCAGCACTGAGTAAGCTGTCACCTTGGTGCTTAATTATAGGCTCTTTTCTGGTTTGTGACTTTGTCCTTTGGCTATTTGAACTGAGACCTATCCTCTGCCAGCACACCTGCTATCACCCACCTCCTAGCCATGTGTGAAGTCTATCCTTGGAGGATGGTTTGTGCTCACTGCAGTTCTCAGCAAAATTTTTCCATTAACTCCAGCTTCCAATATTTTGCATGATAGGAGAACCAGTCCTCCAAGGGAGGGCTTTTGCCAGCCAGCTAATTTGCTCCTTCCGTGACAGAGTGGAATTTAGGAATCTAGCTTTAGGAGAAATGTTGCATCTTCGTGATAATGAATTTTAGCAAAACACAGTTAAAAAGAATGATTCTCACTATTCTAGGGTGCCTTGCCATTATTGCCAATTTGTGCTAACACTATCCACTTTTGATCCACCAAACAGCAGTCATTAGCCTTTCCCTCTGCCTAATTCTTTCTGCTTTAACTAGAATGTTGTTCTTATAATCCTTCATGTTCCTATAATACTTTAACGTTAATTTACAAAGTTTTAGCTTCCATATACATGCTTATTTGTGAGGTAGATATTGTTGATTTTAGAAATAAGGAAACAAGCATGAGAGGCCAAGACTCACCTAGATGACAGTGCTGTTATGTGGCCAAGCTGGACCTCAAAAGCAGGACCTCTGTCTCTGTTAGTGCTTCGTTCCATTGCACCTCTGGTGCACAAGGATGACATTGGTATATAAAATCTCTAAACTGCTAATATCTTTTCATTTCAGGCTGAGAACATTTCTAAGGACCTCTACATAGAAGTATACCCAGGGACCTATTCTGTAACAGTGGGTTCGAATGACTTAACCAAGAAGACTCATGTGGTAGCAGTTGATTCAGGACAGAGTGTGGACTTGGTCTTCCCGATATGATGCTGACCATTACCTGGGCCTCACATCACCTCTCTTTAAGTAGCCAAGAGAATGAAGCCACTGTATGAGTCTCTTAATATTTACACATTAATTCTACTTTTAGGGCTGACTGTAGAGATTCAGCCTTCCTGGGAACTGGAGTCTGTCTCAGTGCCTTTTTTAACCTAAGTGTGTAGAAGAACCCCACCCTCTTTTGCCTGAAAGTAATAATGTATTGATGCTGTCTGAGCAGTTTCTAGTGCTTGCTTTCCAAGCAAAGGTTAATTATGATAATAAAAGGAGAGATTTGGAAATGAAGAGAATTCTATTTTATTGGTATTAAGAGGTGAAAGAAAATAGAGCTCATGTGTAACTTTATGAAACGATGGCAGAGAGGCTCGGGACACATTTGCCCAAAGCATACAGACCACACCCTGTAGCTTCTACGGAGAAGACATCCCCCAGCAGATTTCACCAGGTCCACGGCAGGGAGCCCTGGGCAGGGCTGTGACACTCCTGTGCCCCTGACGACAGAGGTGCCTTTCTGCCATTCATCTGCTGGGAAGTCTTATGGGATGAAGCTGCTGCTGCTTACTTGACTATCACCTGTGGCCTGTACTCTGCCCCCCTCCATTGAAGAAGACCTGTCAGCCACTCTTTTGTAACTCCTCCTCAAGTATTTAGCATCACTATTCTTAAGAGAGTAGGAAGCCCCTTCCCAGTCCTTCTCCTTTACCTAGGTCCTTGGGGCTTTTAATCTAAGAAGAGAATTCTTATCACTCTAGATGTGTCTCAGCACCCTGACTCAGTTTTTATGTTCAGCTTCCTCTAGCAGGGTCTGTGGTGGCTTCGTAATGGTTTCCTCCAGCCTAGCTCCTTGGTATTTCCCACTAGTATAGTTGGGGTTCTCAGTTGTTTGTTGTCTTCTTCTTTCCAGATGTGTTGCAACGTCTTGTTCCTAAACCCAAAAGTCAATCAGTTATGTTGAGTATGCCACCATTTTGATGGGGTTAGTCTTGATGTCTTAAGTAGAACTATACTGAGGATTGTTGAATCTCCTTAAATATCTGTAAACGCCTAACCTGTTTTTTAAAAGAAATTAAGTTTATTAATCATGTCTGGCTACTATGCTTTTTGGACAGGTTATTATCTGGTTCACAAATTTGGAATTGGATAGGAGTCCTTTTCAGATGCATTTTTCAAACAGCCAGTAGGGGAAGCTAACCAGCTGCTACCAGTCAAAAGAGTTTATAAATCACACTGATCATGAAGAGAGAGGAAGCTGATGAAAAAACAAGGTCTAAGAAGTTGAATGAAGCAAAACAAAAAAAAAATGAGAGATGTGACTTCTGAAGGAATAAAGTAATCTAAAAAGGAAGGAATACTTTTAAAGAAATCCATCCCCTCCCTGACTTTTAGAACAACAGCTTGAATCGTGTTTTACTCATGAGCAAGGGAGGAAGGGGGAGCAACATGACAGCTGGCAAACAACAGTCTGGTCTCCCTGGGATTGTTAGGATCAAACAGTAACCTCTCACTGCCCATAACAAAAGGTGGGGACAGAGAACAGGAGGCTCCAGACTCCAGCATTAGTACTTGATGGCTGTCAAGCTTATTTCAGAGAAGCAAAGCAGCACATTTCCTTAAAAGTATACAAATCTGGAGGGGCGAAAAGAAAAGCTCTGGTGTTAGCCATTGTTTCTGGCCCCAGCTGACACATGATTTTATGCGCTTTGTCTTCACTAGTTCTTGTGCACAGTACTCCATCTGACCAGGACTGGGGATGGCCCCTTTCTCCACATCCCATCTCAGGCATGTTCTCCATAGCCTTGGGTACAAGGCTGAGACCTGGCAGAGGGCAGGTCCAGTGATACTCATGGTTCAGCCCCAGGAATTAACCATTGCCTGAAGCCTAACAAATAATCCAGTATCTAAAGGAAAGCCAGGCAGAGTACCTGAAGATACTACGTTTCTCTTTGTTATAATCAGTTATCTTAACTTGCCTTAGAATTCATTTTGTGGAGAAGCAAAAATGGAGTGAGTCTGTTTAAACATGGTGATGGAGAAAGAGACTAAATGTAGCTATTAGTGGCTTTGGGCAATGAGGATAAGAGCAGTGTATACTTAGTACTGATCAAATTTTGTTTGGTCTAATGTCATGGAACAGTGTGTATACTACTGTGGGCCTTCACCTGAAGTAGAATGAAAAAAAAAAATTTTTTGTTTGGTCTTAATTGGGTTTGGAAACCAGTTTAGAGAATTGCCGTGGAGCAAGCCACAGCAGTGGGAGCACAGGTTTGGGAGCCACTGGGAAGACATGGTATTTGGGGCAGGCCTGACCACCATGACCCTTTTGTGACCCCACTGTCAGTTCTCCCTGAGGCTAGGCTTGCTGCTGTCTCAGTTGCTCCACTCTGTTGGTTAAGTACAACTTTTCTTTACCCAGGCTGTGCTGAAGCAGGAGGCAGTGGAAGCTATGGAGAAGTTAGTTAGCATGAAAACTAGATTTTGGCACCATTTGTATCATCACTTAACTGGGAGGGCAGATCTCATAGGAACAGCTGTTTCCCCGTTGTTTCTGCCAAGGCCTCCCACTGTGATATCAGAATGACCCATTTCACAGAAGTCCAGGAACCCCTTTATATTTTCAGTACAAAGTATCCTCTTGAAGAAGGGAGGAAGAGTTCAGCTGGTTATAGCTGGATTCTTGTCCCTCTAGTTGTTTCCCTACCACAGGTGGGGGAAAGATCCCACACACTGAAAGCCAGGGAACACTTCTTCTATAAAATACAATAGCAATTCTGAAGCCATGGAGGCTGGATGCACTCCTGAAACTATTGTCCCAAGATAAGCTGTAAACTTTAAACCAAAAATATCCCCTGAAGTCTTCTTAAAACAAAACAGTAGTTTAGCTTAACTAGTAAATAAAGAAAGTTAGCCTTGAGCATTGCACTCATGTAAGATCTGACAACTGGAAAAAAGTAGATAGGAACCTTAGAGGGCAGTGAGTTTATAAGAGAGGAACAACTCAGAAAAGGAGGGTGAGAATGGTTTCACAACTTGAAGAATATAATCAATGTCACTGAATTGCACATGTAGAAATTGTTGAACTGGTATATGTTCTGTGTACATTCTTAACAACAACAAAAATAAATTATTTTTTAAAATGCCTTATCCTCTTCAAAGGAAAAGGCTCAATAAATAAAGTTGGGGTTCACTTTGGAAAAAAATATAACAGTAGACTTACATCGATACTTCCCCACCTATCCCAAAGTCCAGGGGTCCAAAAGAGTCACTCAAGAAGGCTTCCCATTGTAGAAACAATTTCTCAGTTTTCCAGAACTGAAGACTAATAAAGTCCTTACCCATGAGGCAGGAATGAAAGGTTCTTCCTAGTAAGCAGCCATCCTGGAAATAGGGCAGCTTCCAACAGGGACCCACAGTGTCTAGGGATCCTTAAGCCCTCAGCAGGGGTATTCCTTAATCCTCCCAGTATCCCCCTCCACTGAGCTTTAAATCAGTGACCCCAGGGCCCCAAGAGATCTAGTCTAGGTCTAGGCCTATCTAGACCACCTCTTCACATAGCTCTGCTGCTGACTTCAGCTTCTGCTCTCTTGGTCTCCTTAGGAATTCAGATAGGGTGGTTGTGAGGCAGATCAATGATAATGCTGCTCCTCAGACCTCCAGGTGATGTCACACAGTTCTTAGCTTGATGTAAAGAAGTATGGGGGTGGAAGCCCACTGCCAGCAACAATTTAAACACTGCTTCCCTACCAGTTGGGAAGAATCAGCTTAATGCAGTACCCTGGTCCTTCCCATTCTAACTAAGAGGCTCATCTAGGACAAGGGGCCTGATGACCAGTGTTCACCCACAGGTTTCTGTGCTTTTCAGGGCATTGACCACCCTAATCAACACTTGGAGGCATTTTGACAATTCAGCTAGAGAAAAGTCAAGGCCTCCAAGAGAAAAAAGGGGGAGAGTGGCAAAAACAGACAGTGGCAGTGCCCTGTCAGTAAAAGACCAGGGATGCAAACCTTAGCACAAAGATCAGCCCATTCTTTCTTGTTGGGCTTTATTGCTTAAATGGAAGCCTAGCATTTCCCTCTTGTCACAGCCTCCCCCCCTTCAACATGACCACACTCCAAAGTGTTATTTCGAATCCCAACATAATGGAAATTTGTATCAGATTCCTGAGAGACATAGAGAGGAATGGAGCAGTGTGCCTTAGCCACTGCCCTAGCAGAGAACCCTGCACCCCGTGTATACCTGGTTTCCTCGGACGCGGCTCAGGGCCATTTCTCCTCCAGTACCTCCATTCCAGCTGGCAGAGGCCACTCTGCCATGGAGACTTCTCAGGATGGTTGGGGTCTGTGTTGACTGTGCTGTTCACCATCAGTCTTTGGGGAGGGCCCATCTCCAAATCATTCTCCAAATCCTCTTCTTCAGAAGAGGAGGAGGAAGAAGAAGAAACATCCATGGGCATGTGCACTGCTGCCTCCTCTTTAGGACCCGCTAGGGGCAAAAGTGGAGCTGTGGGCTTCAGCTCTGGCTCTGGAAGTTCTCTGGCTGTGACCTCTGAGGTCTGGGTTAGAGGCCACCAAGTGACTCCAGCTAGGGGACAGCAGCAGAGGCAGCCCTGGCACAGCAGCTGGCAGCAGGCATGGGGATAGCAGGGAGGGCACAGGAACATAGTACCCAGAGGAAGCCCACTGGTGACACATCCAGTGAGCGGCCCCAGCAGAGAGCAACAAGGGGCCCAGAGGAGGGGGCTGGGGTGCTTCCAGATAGCTGGGAGCACCCATCTGACCCCACCTAGGGGCACTTTAGCTGTCTTGCCATTCCAGAAGTGAATAGTGATTTCTTCATCCTTTGATACTACAGGACAGAAAAAGGCAACAGCCTTATTCTAATTAGCTCTTCTTTATTGTGGAGATAAGGGTTCTCATATCCCCAAAGGCAAAGCCTCAGTGCAGCCGCCTCTGCTCTGGCTGCCTGGCTCCCCATGCACACTGCTCCCTGGAGAGCCTGCAGGAAGATTTCCCTCACCTGCTCCATATTTTACCTCCCCTTCCCAGTAGGCTTGAGTGAGCCTGTCTCCTGGACTACACAAGATGACCTGGAGGCACTCATTCTTTTGTGTCAAAAAAAAAAAATAAAAATGCATCCTGGGGTGGGGGAAGGGAAGTAGAGGATTCTCGTAATTACACAGTACTGACAGGACCTGTAAGAGGATAGCCCCAGGTCGGGAGGACTTAGTGGGGGATGGGTTATGAGTAATGATGTGACCCAGGATAACTCCACCACACCACGGTTTAGCTAACCAACACACACATAATATAGTTGGGCCATTTTGCCCTGATAAAAATATTTTATAATCTGGTAGATATGGTTTATACCTCTGTTGCCACCCCAGGATTAAACTGCAAGTGAGGAGATGAAGTTTTTTTTAAAAAAATGATTCTAAGACCCCTAAGCTATACAGCCACCTCTACTCTCTCCTCTGGCCTGACTACCAGCCTGGCTCCTTCTGAGGACTGGTAGGTCAGAGCAGCTTCCCTTACCTTTCAGAGGGTCTCTGGTCTCCAAGCCCAAGACAATAGTGCCAGGGCCATACCGCTGTCCATTTGCCTCCCAGGGTGCCAGCACCTTATCCCCAGGTCGCAGTGAGTGTGCCATGGGTGGTGAGAGCTGAATGACTTCTTCCTCCAAGGCCACACTGTGCTGCTGGGCTGCTGCTCTGTGCCTGTGACGGGGGGGGGGGGGGGGG